TTTATCTTTCATAATATTCATTGAAGATCTGGTCCATTCAAGTTTAGCCATTCTTCTAACTGCATATAAGAATTTCTTTACTTCGAGATAAAGGAAATAGCGCATTAAACTCACTGAAGGTGCTTTTGAGAATAGAAATACCCTTTTTGTGACAACATATCAAATATCAGCGACTGGCCTGAACGACATCTATCAGAAATAAGCATCCCTTACTCTTGACAAGACAATTACTATTGATCTACCGAAACCTTATCTCAGCTAATTGCTTCGAGGAGAGAAAGCTTTAACCAATATAACACGGCCGTACAAGAATACACATGAAGAAATTTAGCATGACTAATGTGTAACTTTGCACACTATGATGGCATAAATCTGTTCCGATAGCCCGAATGACACGGCAAATTATCCAAGAAGAGTTATTTATTTAAAACGAAGCGATCCCGACCTGACATATGGAGTAAAAGTCCATGAAATGACGAGTAGCAGGAAATTGTATCAGCACTCTAAAACGAGGCTTAATAAGTAGTCTCGCGAGATTTAATGATGGGATACGTGATCACGTGATATGTCACAAGTGGTAAAGGCCAATGATTTATCGCTCCCTGGTGCCACCATATTGAATTTGCCTGCCGTTCTTTAAGGGTTTGTGGTTGCCCCAGTCGACACTTAACTTGGTTCCATTATTTGTAGAAACAGACTATTGGTAAACTTTTTGCCAGAAAAGGCATCTACGTGTCTAGCTAGCTGGTCTAACTTCATCCATTAATGGTGTTTTACTCCTGTCAGTGTTGTAGCATTAGTTTAATCAGTAGACACTTAAAACACTTCATCAATGATGGAGTGACTTAAAACGATGCCCAATCAACCAGCCACGTAGAAAGAACGACATGAAGTTGTGAGCTGTTTTAAAGACTCATTATGAATACAGTGAATGACGTCCAATTTATGGCGGCAAATTTCCAGCGAATAAATTGTTAGCGAGTATAACTTGAGAAACGGCGAAATCTTGAATTTTTTTTAAAGAAACATACTATTTGAGATAAACATAACAGCTGTGCCTATATTTAAACTGAACATCAAACGATAGCCGTTATGTTTTTAAGAGATAATGCAAACAGTGTTTTGTACGCACTAAGATACATGACATTGTTCCTTCAAACTAATACATTTACAGTTAAAAATCCATTTCTTCGTATAAAACTTGAGACATAAGGAAGATGGTCTTTATTTTCATCACAATTCCCGCTTGGTTTATCATCTTTATTCGTTCCAGCCATCTGATCGGTATTTATAGTGTCTTTGTTCCAGCGAATTGCTGTGAAAAACAAATATTCAATCATACATTACACAGTGACAATATAGACAAGACTATGGGCAGCTATTAACGCCAATATTTCTGCCTTGTATTGTTTATCAATCGGTTGTTAATATGATTTATGGTTCTCTTTAGTAACTACCTTTTGTTACCGACTGTCGGTTTAAAGACGTTATGGTATTGCCCATATCTTTAATGCCGACTATTTTCTCTCTTTTTTTTATAGAGTAGTATTGATATTATGGATTATATTTATGTTGTATATTACCCACACTTTAAGGGAATAAATCTAATGATGTAGATCATAACATACTTTCTATCCTTGCTTGTAAGATCATTAAGTATTTAGCTTGACATTAGGTCAGACTTTTCTTCCTACATTAATTATTCAAGTTCATGGAAAACAATTTTTCTAATATCACAATTTAGGCTAAAAAGCAGATCTGATCAATTTTTAACATTGATTTTAAGAACCTGATACGACTTCCCATTTAGGCTGCCGGTTTCTGGATTGTTCACTTCAGTCACTTGATTGCTGTCATAAGCTACTGTTTTTCTATTTGTTTTAAGGCGTATATATAAGAAGGTTTCTTGATGAGTTCGCTATAGGAAACTTTATATATTTTCTAATGACATCATGAAACCCATTTTGATTAGGAATTAAATGATGCTATTTTTTTCATATTCTGTGCAATACTTAATTATGAAATTCACTATATGATTATTGCATCATTATACATTAGAAACATTCTTGAGCATACCATGCCTTTCTAGATTGGGCTATTACTTTCAGGAAAACTCTTTATTTGTCTGGCAAATTATTACCTCAAAATAAAAACTATACAAGGCGCCTACGAATGGGTATGTCAGTAGACAAAAGATGACAATGACATGAAACGACTCTGCAAAACCAGATAAAAGGTCTAGCAGTTTCAAAGCATATCGTCCTCAGCCTCAAAAGTTATGAAAACAGAGAAGTTGGATATATTGTTCTTTTTTGATTACAATATCTGTTATTTCGTAAGAGTTTGATGAATAGTTGGAGATTTGGAAATTTAATGTATCTACGAAGCATTTTGCGGACTAAATGTTATTTGTCATGGCTTAATTCACGTTAAAATGTACTCAGATTGATTATTTAACATTTAATTAAATAAAACATCATATCAACGGTAATTTCCTTGCTTGGATTGAATCGTTTTGGTTATATCGTCTATATAAGTTTCCGAATCATGCTGCAAAATGTTCAGTTCATCAGTAAAAACTGAACGGAATTGAACCATTTTGGGATGTATGTGCCTTATATAAGAGGTTCGGCTTGCAGACTATGGTAATTTACAAGCGCTCAATTTACGATCACCGATTTTGGACAGCAGTTCGTTGCATCCAATTACCTTATAATGAATGGTAAGTCACCAAAAAAATATTATATCCCCGAGTCCCTGTAGTTGGGATGCAAGAATTTATGCATACTTATTTTTTTTATAAACCCAGACAAATAAAAATTGGGACATGAATTGATTAGGAGTCTACGTGAACTTGCAGCTGTCAGAATCTTCAAAATATCTTATCCGTCATATCCAGGGGCCGTCTTAACAACATTATAGCCCCCCACCCGCCCAAAACAATCGTCGATCAAATTAAACAAAAATTTCAACATATAAATGATCAACACAACATCATAGATGCCCTGACCATATCGCTTAGTTGTGAAACCTAAAATTAAAAAAAACTATTTCAGACCTGACCTCCACAAAAATTTCTTAAACGGTTTTATATTACATGTACACACATACGCACTAGTTTCATGATATACTTTGCTGAATATAATCGAGGAGGTGGGGAGCAAATATTTAAATTACATGTATCGTAAACTGATTTATTGGAGTTAAATGTCTCGAAAGGGGATTTTTTGATTGGTTAGTTATTGTATGTGTCTGGTAAAACAATTATGACCCTAAGGTTTTACGCATGTCATTTGAATCGAATACCTGGAATTTCATTGGTCAAAAAGACTTCCACGTGTCATAATTATATAACGAAATGCATTTATGCAGTGTGTCGTGATATTTTTGTATGATTTTTAAAAAAATATATAAATATATTGTCTTTGTTATCTGAAAATGTCTTTAAATATACGCACCTTATATAAAGATAAATAAATAGGTTTAAAGGGGATTGAATGATTTATTTTGCTGTGTTATATATCATTTATTTAGTATTAGACTATTTGCACCATGTAAAAAAAACGATAAATGTCACCTTCTTTGAAACATTTTGTATTATTCGAGCATACGTCTTGAGATGTTTTTACCAAATTAGATTTTACATAAGATAATTTGCATATTATAAAAGAAAAGACAATTCCGCGCAGCATTAACTGCATCTCAAAAACTGAAAATAGAAAATTTTGCACATGGTCGGATTTCATGTAAACAGAATATGAGTGATTTGATCAGAAAGACAGCGATGGTCAAAGTGAGGTAGCATCTTTAAACTTCCCGTTCTTATCCCATCTTTCAATAATTTGATTGTGCGTAGGGGTCTGTAGATGTTGGGCATATGACCCTACTTCTTTTCATGAACAAGCTTGAGAGCGAAACCACACCACTTGACAAAATAACTAATTTTGTGTTCCGCTGTCGACGGTTAAGAGTAAATGAAAATTAGCAAACAAATTTACTCCCTTTTTATAGACTTTGTCACTATTCTCATTACTAATGGAATAAAACATCAGATAAGTCCCATCCAACACTTTAATTATGACGTAAATCAAAGCTCCTCAAATCGAACCATTATAGGACAACCAACTATTTAGTTCAGGCATATCCATTATTGTTTTTTTATATGTTGGTAAGTAAGTTACAGAATAAATTAGATTACAGAAAGCATAACAAAAAAAAAACAACCTTCGAGTATAATGTTAGAATACATCTTAAGCTAACTTATTTCCGTATTTAGTTGTTAGTTAATATTGGATAAAGACGAAATGGGATTTAAATTGTCTTCGCCTGCCCTTCAACCTGTTTATTTAATTATCACTATGAAAGAAAGAAACGGGACTTTCTGGCTGGGGCAATTTTTAAAGCTAACAATCATTTGGCACTAGAACAATCAAAGAACACGCTACGAACAAAGATTGGCATTCATGTTTATCATAAACCTCAGCGTTACCGAATTAAAGGCACAATTTACTGACAACGCCATCTTGTGGCGTCAATAGAAAATAAAACGAAGTTATCTAGAAATTAGCTGGTTGAATTCGTCGACATGTCTTCGTTAAGAATGGACGTGAGGACGAATTTGATGTAATTGTTGTTCAGTAGGCGAGAGTTCCATGGTCTCGATTTATTGAGCTAGTGATTAGCAGGCAGTGACAGCATGTCTGATGACCAGAAGACGGGTTAAAACTAAGAACAAAGGCTTGTTTGACAGTTCAATCAGGTCCACATTACAAAACCTGGATTAATCAAATACCCGAAAAGCAGGACTAAATCTCCATTTTGAGGGTATCGCATCTCACGGGGGAACATGAACATGAAGGTCAATAATGTCTACTTCTGAGAAGGAAGGAATTCGATTAAATGGTTGATTGAGCACTGAGCAGGATCTGTCTTTAGCTAAAAAAAAAACTCGCCTCTCTATTTCAATCACATAGCATTTAAAATGCGCCTTTATTACCTACCTTTAATACTATTACATGAAAGATTATTCCGGTAGTTTTTCCTTTTTTTCTGATTCTATTCGCACCGATGTGTTCAATCTGAAAATGGAAAAATACGTTTTTCAACAACCTCTACAACCATTATAACATACCATTTGATTTTCGAGTATACTGTCAATATGTAAGTTAAATATTGAAAATTTAAGATCATAAACAATCCAATGAACTTCTACGAGGTATTAGAAAACATATTGGCCAAAATAGATCAATTCTAAACGTTATTGCCATTTAAATGTTCCATTGGTTTCTATATGTCAAGCGGGTATAGTTCTGCGTCTTAGATATTCACAGTAATCATAATTCTGCTACACACCAGTCCATTATTTGGATGTCTTCCACTAAGTAATAGAACATATTATTTATTAGTTATAAGTGGCAGAATGTACGTTTATTCTAGATCAATGCTATTGCCAATACTTTGGTGCAGACGCGTTAAGAGCGAAGACTGAAATGATGAAGCGCCTTTAATTTGTGATAAAATGCATGCCGTCATAATTGACATTTCACGAAAAAGACGATATGATTTTTTATACGGTGCTCAATTACCTAACACATATGGCACATTTTACTTGACAAGAAGATTAGTGGACAGCCCACTATAGCTGACATCACAATAGTAGACAAGATGGATGATATTTTCCGGTGTAGAGCCCCATCAAGTCAGATGAAATAATGTTAGAAAATGTAACATTTCCACGGGGAATAAATCTTTGAACCCAATCTAGATGTAAAAGAGCTGTGACAGATTATATTATTTGTTCCCTGCCTAACTGCTCAATTAGAGATGAACGTCTGGATAAAACCAATGATAAAACTAGTCTCTATTAAAGAAGAGTTGCAGGCCACTTATGTCCCGTAAAAATATTTCAAAGACGTCGATAACGGCAGTAAACTGATAAGAGAGGGCGACTGGTTAGGGCAGCGAGGAATTTGGCCTTATAACGAATGAAATATTGGTTTCATCTGCGCCCATTTTCTAACAGTCGCTTTCAGTCCTTAGAGATTTGTCGCTTAGCGATCTTTTATCGTTGCCTAATTTATCAGGTCATAGGGGGCCATACCAACTAATTAGCAATCGAGGTCTTTGCCAGCTGATATATGACTTATTATAAAGATAACGTGGCGAATCGATCAGCCAGTACAGCTTTAGATTTATTTCTAATTTTTATCGGATATTTCCCAGTGCTATTTGTGACAGCTATTTCAAAAGCACTTTAATATCGCATTTCATACCGTGTTTCAGCCAAATTAATTGTATTTCTCCCTTGATTAGTACGAGGGAGTGGGTGAAAATAAAAGGAATGAAACAGACGAATAACGTCTTATAGCTTTCCAATTGATATATACATTTCATCTCCCAGTTTGTAAAATATCTATTTCATATACATGTACCTGAATTCAGGTTATTATTTAGCATATTCGTTTTTTTGCATCTTACATCACATACGAGATTAAATTTAATTGTGCACCAATCCTTATACTTGACACATCCAGTGATTAAAATGATATATCAGATGTAGATAAAATTTTACAAAAAGATTAAACATAAGTCTAAAATGTTCCACTCTGGAAAAGATCAAATACAACAAAACAAATATCATCAGCGTGATCTCTTGCGTGTTCATTGAAGTATAAAGGATTACAGGATGCAAATTGGTCGTTTTTCAGTAAGAAAATAGTCAGTTTGTAAAGAATTTTGTTTTCGCCATCAAACATTAATCCAATAATCTTGACGACGCACAACCAGAATAAAACCAATTTTCTATCTCATTTCCTCGTTAAACGAAAACCAAAGGAAACGGTCATTTCCTTATCGCATTAATTTTGCATTTCTGATTAAGAAAGATTTTCATTTTTTGTCTTGGGCATCATTTAACCCCGAATGACCCTCTACTGATATCAATGAAGTTGCTGTCAAGAGTAATTTCGCTTCCTATTTTTAGCTGTCATAGCATCGCTTATTGGCTATAATTTTCCGCACGTGCACAGCGTCAAACACCGAGTGTCACTGCGGCTTCATCGCAGAGAGAAATTAATAAAATGATGAAATTATATTTGAGGCTATAAATCTAGAAAATAACATTGCTGCCCGTATTGTGGCAACCACACGCGCACGTTGAGGCGTAATTATCATTAATGTGTTGCCGTAAAGTGGTTGTCATAACCGATGTCGTGAAACACGACTAGGGTTTTAGGTGGTCTATAATTAGTGTGAAATCTACACCACTTTCCTGCTTCTAACCTTTAGTTTAAAACGAGTAAATCATAGAAAATGCAGGACTATTACTAATTCTGGTTGATGATTGTTTCGTGTAAGAAGTCGTTCTGGAAAGTCATCTGTCTCTTAATTTTTGCCCTATAATTAAAGAAAGTATCTATATAACTAGCAGATATTGTGTGTAGGCTGTAGCCACTAATCAAACAATCTGCTATACGGGAAGATACCACCAAACAATTTATCAATTTAAAAAACTGTATTAATTTCAAAACATATTTGCGAAGCAATCTATATAAGCAGAATTAATGCTTTGTAGATCTTGACCGGTTGATAAAACATCGGGTGTTCAAATTACAATGCGTAATTGCAACATATCAGAGACATATTAATGTTTTAAATTTCATATCAGAGGGCGATTGTGCAAAATGCCTTGGTGAAACGGGTGGGTGGAGGGGTGGGGGCGAACAAGGAAAGTGCTGTATAGTCTTCAGAAGGGACGAAAAACCAAGGCCCATTCGTGATACGCTTAGATGACCAGTACCGGACAAAACTATACTACCGGGCATAAAAATGGTATACTCCATTCTGATCATACTCTTTCTTTGTGTAGAATATTGCTTTGATTTTGATAAATGGGTAAGTCAAACTTATTTTGAATCGTGACCAGAGCCAAGAGGCGTGTACATTATCACTCCGGCTTTGTACAGTCTTCATTGACTCCCAATCGATGCCCGAGTTAGCTTCAAAATTCTGTGTATCACATTTAAAACAATGCACCGGCATACCTGACTAATCTTGCGTGTGTCCGTGCACCCATTCTTTCTCTACGAGATAATAAAGAAATTAAACATATTTATCCAGTAACCAGGACACCGAAAACGTTCGTTGACAGATCTTTCACGGGTTGTGCACCACGACTGTGGAACAAATTACCGGAAATTATTCGTGCTATTAAAATTTCTAACACTTTTAAATGTAAACCCATTATTTCCACCTATTTAAGTTTCTTTATTGTTCTACTGAGATAAATTGGTATGTAGTCTGCTTTAACCAATGAACTATTATTATGATATATGAATTGTCGAATGTGATATTCTCTTTCGATCCCTGCATTGGCCGAGAAAGTTCATCCAGATTTTCCGGCGTGGTTCCCCTTTGTCAGTGATACAGGACGGAGGGATGACAAGGACAGCTGTCTAGTCGTTCGGATGGGACGAAAAGCCGAGGTCCCGTGTACACATTGGCGTGCACGTAAAAGATCCCTTGACAGTTGAATTCGATATACGAGTAGGCCGTAGTGCCGCTGCCCGGGCCAAATTTCCCTCATAGCACACTGTATGGCGTATGCCCGTCTTCATTCGCTCAGTCGGAGCAGAACAGTAGGACGTTAAACCTCATTTCATTTCATTTCATTTCTTTTTTTATAAGAAGTATTGTCTCGGTAAGAAATCAGTCTTTCACATATATTGTGTCACTCTTTATAATCCAAGGTTTCCACGAAATGTCAATGGATTGTCAGTTGGAGATGTTGTGAAAATTTACGTCAACACTGGGATTTATTCAATTTAAAATATTGTTCCAGTAAGAATCGTGGTTAATAAAACAATATTCCGTACGAATTATTCGATTTATAAGCAAACAGTCTTTCATAAGTATCAACTAAGTAAAGCTGGCATGTTTTAAATCTTTTGTCAAGTTTGAATATCCGTTTAAATTGAAGAAGGTTCAGAATTAGCTAATTTTAGACGACTTTCAATATTGCCCTTTTATTCTTGCTCAGTGGATTTATGTTTCAATTTCAGTCCATATATTGGACTAAAAGAAAGCAACCACCTAGAAGGATTACTAATCTTTGGCATTATTTCACCAAGTGACCTCAGCATTTAAAAAACAATGGGAGATAATCATGTGTCAGTCTCGGATTTAGCTCAAGGCAAGTCACTTGTGTACCAGACAAAAACATATACCCCTTGTTTCATGACATTATATAGAAATGACAACATCTTCATTGCCGATCTGGTCACATTATGATACCGATCACATCCAGGGTGCGTTGGTGTTATCAAATTGTAATGATCCGTTGGGCCTTAAGCTCTAAATGTCAATCAAATCTTTTATATTAATCATGCGCTCAGGGGTGCAAGCGGCCAAACTGATAGAATACACAGTGGAGGTGTATACTCATCAATTAGCGACCCATTACTATATGATTACAATTAACACTGTTTAAAAGGGCTGTGAATCATTTTGTGATCAGCTGTTGTTAAATTAAGAAACGAGAGGAAAGAACACCGAGGAAACTTTTAATAGGCTGTTAAATGTCAAATATACGGTTATTTATTTATTATAAAACAGAATGATTTACATAATATAAGGGGTGGAGTCACGTCACCTTCCTATCTGAACTTCGTAATGGGTCCAGTGCAAACATTATATTAAGACACACCATTAAAAGTAGCATAACTGTTTTTCCAAGGGGCATTGTTGATATTAGCAAAACAATTTAAGAGGACATGCTTTTAGGAATATGAGTTTACAAAGGAAGTGCAGTGTTTAAAACGCATTGCAAGAAAAATCAATATCGGTCTTAAAGTAAGACATCTTCAGGGTTAAAAAAAATTGACCTCATTAGGTTAATCCCTGAAGACAAGGGCACTCAACTAAGCCTGTGGCTGGAAATACTCTCTGAGGCCCAGAACAATTTACAACTTATATTTGAAAGTAACGCGCAGATTGCCGAGTGTCTGAACAAGTTAGCAGTTATTGTTAGAATGCCTTTTTCACACAATTTTATTTTCGGCGTTAGCAAAAACTCAAATAG